TTGTACGTACAACACAGTCTCTTCTCCCAAGCATTTACAGTGGAGCATCATTTATCTAGACGCTTTGATCCCAGTCAGTTTGTCCGGATATGTGAAAGTCCAGATACCTGAATTACCAGTTAAACAAGACAAACTAACATTTAAAAATTCTGTTCCAATGAAAAGTTTTCCGGATACTGAAGCATCCGGATATCTAGCGTCCGGATAACTGAAGGTCCATTGTACTAAATTAAATCAACATTTCACTAGGCCAAAGTGACATTTACCAGTACTTTTCTGTGTAGTCTTAGACATTCATTGGAAATGTTTTGCATACAACTTGCCCATTTTTCTAAATGTCATTTAAAATGTCTTAATTTCTTGACAATGAATCTGAATATAGGTTCCTTTATATGTGTTCACTGCATACCTATGAAAAATTAGAAATAGTTAAGATAAACCCAGATACTGGGAATGCTCTGTATGATTTATGTGTTATAGATACACACAGATTCTGGGAATGATCTGTATAATTTATGTGTTATAGATACACACAGATTCTGGGAATGCTCTGTATGATTTATGTGTTATAGATACACACAGATTCTGGGAATGCTCTGTATGATTTATGTTATAGATACACACAGATTCTGGGAATGCTCTGTATGATTTATGTGTTATAGAAACACACAGATTCTGGGAATGATTCTGTGATTTATGTGTTATAGATACACACAGATTCTGGGAATGCTCTGTATGAATTATGTGTTATAGATACACACAGATTCTGGGAATGATTCTATGATTTATGTGTTATAGATACACACAGATTCTGGGAATGATCTGTATGATTTATGTGTTATAGATACACACAGATTCTGGGAATGCTCTGTATAATTTATGTATTATAGATACACACAGATTCTGGGAATGCTCTGTATGATTTATGTGTTATAGATACACACAGATTCTGGGAATGATTTCATGATTTATGTGTTATAGATACACACAGATTCTGGGAATGCTGTGTATGATTTATGTGTTATAGATACACACAGATTCTGAGAATGATCTATATGAATTATGTATTATAGATACAAACAGATTCTGAGAATGATATATGTGATTTATGTGTTATAGATACACACAGATTCTGGGAATGCTCTGTATGAATTATGTATTATAGATACACACAGATTCTGATCCTATGATTTATGTGTTATAGATACACACAGATTCTGCGAATGAATTATATAATTTATGTGTTATAGATACACACAGATTCTGGGAATGCTCTGTATGATTTATGTTATAGATACACACAGTTTCTGGGAATGCTCTGTATGATTTATGTGTTATAGATACACACAGATTCTGAGAATGATCTATATGATTTATGTGTTATAGATACACACAGATTCTGAGAATGATCTATATGTTTTATGAGTTATAGATACACACAGATTCTGGGAATGATCTATATGATTTATGTGTTATAGATACACACAGATTCTAGGAATGCTCTGTATGATATATGTGTTATAGATACACACAGATTCTGGGTATGATCTGTATGATTTTTGTGTTATAGATACACACAGATTCTTGGAATGCTCTGTATGATTTATGTGTTATAGATACACACAGATTCTGGGTATGATCTGTATGATTTATGTGTTATAGATACACACAGATTCTGGGTATGATCTGTATGATTTTTGTGTTACAGATACACACAGATTCTGGGAATGATCTGCACACAGCTAGGCCTTCCCTGTGTTGTGTTACACTCCATGATCAGACAGAAGGAGAGGTTGGCAGCCCTGGCTAAATTTAAATCGAATCAGATCAACATTCTGATTGCCACTGATGTAGCCAGCAGGTAGGAACACCACGGCTTTGTTTACTGATCAACCAATGGATCCAATAAATTTTTTAACGTGGTATTTTTGAATTGAAAATATTACTGTCTATACATGATAAGCCTTAAAATATGTATGCAAATACTATCAACATACCATTTCAATTTTACAAAGAATGAAAGATGTATAAAACATGCACCTATTACATGTACATGTATCATTGCACATTTTTCCAATTCTTTTGAATCATCTTAAAACAAACAAGTATTGATAGAAGGTTTATAATTTTGTTAGAGGGTTAGACATTCCTACGGTGGACTTGATTATTAACCACAATGTTCCCAATAAACCTAAGGACTACGTACATCGTGTGGGACGTACAGCTAGAGCAGGTAAAATAGGCCGATTCATGGAACATAATTTTAAAAAAATAAACATTTAGTGTTTGAGTAATTTATATTTCTCTAAAATCTCTAAAAAAAAAGGTTAAACAGTAGGATTGTTGTTAGTAAAGGTTTAAGATTATTGGCAAAATTTATTCATTAATACAAATATCTATTCAATTAATCTCATATTTTATAATGGGAAAAGAGATTATAAATGAAAATAATAGAATAAATAAAAATAAATATATTTTCAGGTCGTCATGGAACTTCTATTACCTTGGTCACCCAGTTTGATGTCCGTCTGGTTCATGCCATTGAGGAGTTTGTCAGTATGTCTGTCTGCAATGTATTCAATACTTTGTGCATTCTTACAAACATTTCTGATTGAATATGAGTATATCTTTGTACTGATGTTATTTCCAACAGATTCAAAAATGGATGAGTATGATACCAAGGAAAAAGAAGTAATGAAGATTTTGGTAGAAGTTGCTACTGCAAAAAGAGAGGCAGAAATCGTAAGTGATTGTGGGATGGCAGTCTTGTATGTCACCGATTGTATATCATTCATTTTATCATGTATACTGGTACTTTATCTGAATTCATTCAGTTTGACAAAAAAACATCATTGTTAACAAACTTGATGGACCACCCTTCTATGGTACATGTATTATATTTCTGTTACCATAATTTTTCTTTCGCAACTTGATAGAAATTGGATGAAAGAGACTTTGGGGTCCAAAAGGAGATAAACAAAAGGAAGAAGCTGCTGATGGAAGGGAAGGTAATCATTCTTTAGTTTTGTACCGGTAATTACCTGTAGGCACTAGTACTCAGTCTCTGTTTTGCTACTCAAGTAGAACTCAAATTGGAATGCATAAAAGTTTTACTGTAAAATATATAATGGTGAGGCATTGTATTTAGAAATGCATAAGGAAATTTAAAACCCAAATACTCTATTGGGGACTATTTCCACAGGTTGTAATTTTTGTATTTTTCTTCTCTTCTGACACTTTCACGGGTAGGTGAATTTCCAGTTTATTTCATATTTGTATGCATTATTTAATAAATACATTATCTAGCAAGGAGGATAGCTCTGTATAAAAATGTTTTAATCACAAAAATACTGTAAAATTTTTAATAAAACTATAGAATGTTGTAAGTGTGGGAATTAATGTTGCAGCTCATGCTGAAAAAAAATACAGAAACGGCATAAGTGGTTAATTCCCATACTCACAATCAAAGGAAGATGTTTAATGTTCATATATGTCTGTCAAAATATGCTAATTCATTACAATTCATACTTTCTTAAGAAAAATCAGGTCATAACAATTCCTGAATTGACTGATTTTTGAAAATAAGACTTTGTTAATTTTTAACCACAAATAATATCTAATACGTACCAAAAATATCAACATTGTCTTTAATTTCTGTAAAAGAGCCGTACCCTTTCCCAAGCAGAAGTGGGATTTAGACACCTAGTATCATATTGTCTAATACTCCTACATATGGTATTAGCATTTGATGTTAAATATTTACTTTTAATTTATTTCATCACTGATCATTTGAATCTTGTGTCCCCTGCCATTGGGAGAAAACTGCCCAGTCTGCTGAAAGTTAGTGTTGATTAATATGTAAACACTATAAAACAAAAACATGTACAGTGTATATGGAACATTTACAGGATCCAGATGAAGAGGCCAGAAAGAAACAGAAATACATCAAGGAAAAAAATCTAGAACAAAAGAAGAAAAGGAAAGAAAAATTTGAACAAAAGACTTGATTAAAAGGTTTACAGCCTTTGAAAGAAAATCTGTGCAATATTAAAATGTTACAAGTTGTGAACTAGCTATCACAGAGGTGTTAAATTAACTTCCACCAACCCTCAATCTCTCAAAGACCATGTCAGGACTTTCAAAACACTTGCAGATACATGTACTTGTAACCCACAAACCACAGGTATATATACCTGCAACATACATGTATGTGAGAAATTTTAAGCTATGAAACCTGAGTCACATGTTATAAGATCCAGACTTTCTTATATACGTGTCACAGGAACACAACATCAAAATATTGGAGATAAAAGTTCGATCAGATTTGTTCAGCTGTGATGTATATAATTATGAAAGTGTAATGATTATGTACAGTGTATAAAGCTACATGTATGGGTGTAATGGCAGAAGATAAGCTCTGTACATTTACAGCTACCGTAAATCTGGAAAATTTTACGTCGATTTTATTTTGCGAATTCGGGTTTAAGTGCTGTTGATTAATTTTTACGCTTCAAAATTTTGCGAATGACCACTGCTTTGTTTACATTTTCTTATTGGTGATTTATTTTTAAGAAAAATATTTTTGCGAATTCAATGCACTCGCAAATTTGCTAAAAATTTATCTACAGCAAAAATTTCCAGATTTACGGTATATGTTATATATGTTATAGCTGTATGTTTGAACATGTAATGCATGTACATAAGATATATGTAACAATTTAAGTGAAATGTTATAGCTAAATTTACTGATTTTAAGTGTAAATGTAAGCTTGATGTGAAAGTGAGTGTAAATTATATTGTAAGCATGTTTAACAGAGCAGAAGTGTGGTATAAACTTAAATTTGCAATGAGAGGAATTGGCTGCTATTTAAGCTACTGTCAATTAAATCTATGGAATTTTTGAAGTCTTGGATGCTGTATGGAAAATAATTTTAGGCATTATCTGTATTTTAGATTTTCAGAGAATTTGATTTGAAAAGGATTCATAAGAATGTATTGGGTTTTTTCAAGGCCGTAACTAGGCTCAAATTTTTAGTGAGGCAAGGGTGTTGTGTATTCCTAGTCTCAGACGGGGCAAGGGTAGTACCTCAGGACCAGTTAATAAGGTTTCCAAGGGGAAGGAGGTCCTGAAACCTGGGTATTAGAAAATGAAAGATTAAATCTTATAAAGTTTTTACGTTTTGAATGGCACAGTGGTTAGAGCGTATGCTCTGAAGTCGCAGACTAAGGAATTGATCCTTACATCACGGGTTCGAATCCCACTGCGGGATGTAGAGACAGGTTCTTTGGATGAGACCGTAAAAACCGAGATCCTATGTCACAGTAAGTGATGGTACAAAAAAGACCTCTCACTGTTCAATCATCTTCAGTGAACCTGAAAGCCCAGTACAGATTTAAAACTTGCAGCCCTCCATTGGCAAGTGTTTCAATATGAATGAGAAATTCTTAGAAGGGTGTGTTAAATAATTGAATAATTTACAAAATAAACTTTTTGAATTAAATTTTACATGCGCTCTAAATGAAAATGATTTACAGAAGTTGAAAGTATTAATTTAGCACGAAGACACACATAAATACAATGTAAAACTCTTACTTTTCAAAAAACTCTAAAAATTTAGTGAGGCATTTGCCTCACTTGCCTCAATGGTAGTTACAGCCTTGTTTTTTATTTTCACTGAATGCACACATGTTTGTACATACACCAATACATGTATATACTGCTGGTTGTAGATTGATATAACATCTCACCAAGTCATACGACAAATTATAAGTAATGTATGGTTCATTTTGCAGTTAAATCATACAGTATCTATTACATATTCATTTCTTTGACGCATTCATAAATAAAAGTTATCAATTGGATGTATTGTTTTTTCTTTTACTAAAGAATATAAATATGATACATGAAGGAATAAATAAACCCTAATGATTTTGAGGTCACAAGATGAATAGTCACATTGTCTCAATGTTTGTATACTGGTCCCCCTCTTGAGATGACCACTATTGAGATCATAAGCTTAAATGTAAACCACATAACACCCATTCTCAATATAAGGGCACAAATGCCTCTCTGATTTTTTAAAAAGTGAAGTTCAAGATAACAATTTTTCTATCAATTACCTTTGAAAGAAAGTATCTGAAGATTTTGTTTCCAGTTTTTTTTCATCAAATTTTAATACATGGAATAATGACAAGACGGTAAAGTAGAGGGTGATTTTATTGAAAAATGTAGCTTGAAATGTACGTTACTCTTTCTTCAATGCCCAAAAAGATATGTCAAAAAAATGTAGTCATTAAAATCACAATTGGAATAGCTCATCTTAACACCAGCACATCCTACCAACTCTGTCAGCAACACATTCTCTCAGCATATGAACGTGCGTTTGATTTTTCCTTTCAAAAAACAATGGTTCCTTTTTGATCCAGATGTATAGAAACATTTTTTTAAATATATGCTTTAAATTCTTCTCTCTGTTTTGTTTAGAGTGATCAGTTTGGAATCTTGTCATTTTCTATAGATAGTGGAACTTAACATGTACATGTAGTAAAATTCTATTTTGTAGTTACTGTCTTTTTTAACATATATCCATGCCGATTCAGACAACTACGTAAATGTAACGTACATTTCAAGATATATTTCTGTTTAATAAAAAGCTTAAAATTCATCTAAAAATTCATCTTTTTGTTTCACTTTATTCAAAAAAAGATTCTCTATGTAATCACATTGTGTTATATGTCACAATCATCACTATAAAGACACGATTGCCTCAAAATACGAGTAGGTAACGTACATTTCAAGCTTGTAATAATATGTAAATTAGTAATAAGAAAATATTGAAAAAAGCAATTATTGACATAAAAATCATTTCAATGAAGCGTTTTAACGCAGTAATATAAGAAATCATAATGTAACAAACGAGGTTATTTGTCATCAACTACATGAATGTCACGTCACTTCGGTAACGTTCATTTCAAATATTATTGAGGAGTCCCCTCCTCCTCAGTTCATTACCATTCTTTTGTGCTGTTTCGCTGAAATTGACACCGGTCGTAGCCTAGTTACTTCTACTGTGTGCAAGGGTACAGACAAAAAAAAAAAAGAGTCAGACGTATTTTGCTATGATCTAACAAATGCTTGTGTTTGGCCATTGAAACTTAACAAAAATCTATTCCGAATATATCCATCGACAGCCTTGTTAACAATTTCATTTAGTATGTTGCAACATCGTTTGTCAAAACACAAACATACGTACTTTTCAGCAAAACTGGAAAAATATAACCCAAAATGCAATGATTCAAACAAAACTGAGTATTGTGTGCCTTTCAGTATTTGAAATGTGCGTGACCGTCTTGTGTTCTGGGTTTATTTGTTTTGTTTCTTTTTCTTTCTTTTTTTGTTTTGTTTTGTTTTTTTTACCAATTATAAGCCTATGCATACCTTGTTTTAAATTATCAACAACAATTAAATTAATATTGACGAAAAGTCGCATATTTAAAGTAAACAAACTGCAGAAAGGTTGCTAAAGATGAATTTAAGACACTTAGAAATAAATTTTCTAGCATGTGGTAATAGTCTACCACATTTACGAGGATTGGGGGTGTATTTAAATGGATTTTGGTGGTCAGTTGTCAAATGGATTGTAACGATAATTTTGTTTTGCTCGTGTAAACGCAATTCATTGACTAAATAAAAAAAAAATGTCAGTGAGAACTACGCAAAATGTACGTGACCATACGTAACGTACATTTCAAATATAAAAATCAATTCTCTTCCACAACGTACGTTAGACACGCAATATATTGATACTATTTGAACTTGCATATCATAAGAAATGCATCATACAGGTTTCGTATTCAGAAATATATACCAGGTATCAAAATTATATTACATATAATTGACCTTAATATTTTCTTTTTACCTAGCAGAAACGTTTCTTTTCATTAATTTTGGGATTTAGCCGACCTCCAACCTTTGAAACTTTCCTTTGTGTACACATTCGAGTGTGTGAAAGTATGAGAATACATGAAAATTCGTGCGAGATTCACTTAATTCGAATTTCATGGTAACGTACATTTCAGTCACGTACATTTCAAATGATCATTTTTCATCTAAAAAATAATTTTTAATTGTGTAAAGCAAAACGTCTTTGCCAGTTTACAGGATACAAGGGGTTGCTTATTCAGAGTCGTGTCATATTTTCTACTTAATATATATTCTTAATGGAAGAATATAGGTAACGTACATTTCTTTCTTATCTCTACGATTGAAAATGTCTTTCATTCCGTAAACATATCTATAAAAGTTGATCAAATTTTTCTATTTCATGTTACATTATCTAAGTAGGAGTAATTAATCCTTTGAAATTTCAAATTTAGCCCATCAATAAATAAAGGAGAACAAAACTATGAGGTGTATAATCTTTGTGTTTGCTTGTAATGTGGTTGAAATAGAATTCAGCGACAGGGACATTGCACAATAAAAATTATTTATTATCACAAAGAAAATGTATTTATTATTATGAAAAGAAATATATATGATACAAGGTTTAACTTATCAGAAAATTTTTACTTTAGAATCAAAACTATATATTACACAGAGGGGATTCAGCATAATATTTGCCTCGGCGACAGTAACGTACATTTCAAATAGGCTACTATATTTGAATTTTGAACTCTTTTAATACCCTTTTAGATCGATAATTAGAGCAAATCGCAAAACCCCTAAAGGATTACATTGTTTGTGACGAGCTGCCGCTTTGCTTGTCGAGAACTTTAAATACTACGTCACATTCTCGCCACATCAAAGGACGTAACCGAGATCGCGTCTCTCCCACGCTAAAGTCGGTCAGCTGCAATACACATTGCCGAAGTTTAACGGGTTTACAAAAGGGGACAGAAACACAAATCTTATTAAACAGTTTGAAAAGAGCATTATTTATATTATCTGCATTTTTTAGAGTCCATAATAAATTAAAGCCGTGAAAATTTAATTTTATAGCATTTACCATTTGTGTATATTGCACGGTATACATGCGATATAAAATGATGTACATGATCAATTTAATTGTTTCAAATCACTAGTACTGTTGACGTGAAATGATTTTTCTGTGGAAAAGAGAAATATTCCGTTTATGTATCAAACCATGAACTTGAGACTTGAGAACTTAGTATACCCCAAACAGCCGTATTATACCAGTATAATATGTACTTGTACTTTAAGTATCCATATACATGTATAAAAGAACATTTCTGTCAAGAAGAGAAGTATGCCTATTCACAATTGTCAATAATTATGTCAAAATACTAAATTAGAACGGGTGCATAGTTTTGCTTTAAAAAATACACACATGTATAATAGCTCTCTCTCTCTCTCTCTCTCTCTCTCTCAGGAAACGTTTCAGTGGCTGAATATATGTATTTCAATCTACTGCATCAGTGATGTTTAAAATATGATCAGGTATTTTCGTTTATTTATCACTCAGTCTCTGATTTTTTAATTATCAGTAAGCACACATTAAATCCATTCTGATTGCTCATATACGACATACATGCACTGCTGCAGAATTTTTAAATACTTTGCATTATGTAGAAAAGTACTCAAAAGCACATATTCGCAATCCTTTATAAAACTGAGATTTCTGTAAGAACATGTGAATACCCATAACAGGGAACACATACTGAGCACTACGTACGCAGAGTTTTTGCAAACAGCAACATATCCTCCATATATGGGGGGGGGGTGGAATAAAAAAAAAAAAAACAGGTGCGATTTCAGCAACTGTGGGACAACTTTATCGAATGCTAAGACAACTTTTAATAATTATGCGATTCAATAAATATATATTTATATTGTACTAACGCAGTGGAACTACAAGAGGCCCATGGGCTACATCGCTTACCTGAGCACCGTGGCTAAGAAAATAGCAGAAATCAGCTCAATATTGAAAGTTTAAATCCATTAAATCCATAAGTGGTCCCAATCTACCTTTAAAGGGGATGG